TAAATTTCCTTACACTTATCTTCCCTGTTTTCTGGCTGAAGAAAGCATGTAGAAGGAACGTACAGAATTTCTTGGTGTTTCTCAGTCCATCCTTCCCAAAGATGTACAAAAATGGTCATAATTGGGCTATGTTGAAACCTCTTTACCTATTTTTCAGATTGAGTCCAACAAATTCAAAATTACATTTGCATAACATCTTTCCCTTAATTTCAAAAACCATGTGTATTTTCAAGAAAACACAATCCCTTTGTTTTGGATTCATATCACTTAAGTCACACACATGCTTTCTCCTAAATAACAGTAGCTGAGATTTGCTAAGCTCTTCCCATGTGTTGTGCTTATAGAACAGTCAGTCATTACCTCACTTAATCCTCCCAGAGATCCCGTGAAGTGGGTCTAATTGTTATCTTGCTAAACAGATGAGGAAACTGAGACTTTGAGAAGTTAATCTGTCCACACTCATAAACCTATTCCTTGTTGGTGCCAGAACTCAACCAAAGCTTTCAGATCCCAAAACCTGTGAGTGATTCTCTAAGCAACACCCTAAACCATGGACATCCATTTTATCTAACCGTCCTTTCCATGCAGGATATGGGATGTGACCAGGAGAAATGGGTTGAACATCTAAAGGGACAAGACACCCAAAACTCCCAACCTATTCTTTGTATGGTGAGAGCTATCCTCCCATTTCTGAATAAATGGACTTACCATTAAGAAGGTGAAGGAGACAAGAGCTGTTGGAAAAGAGCAGGCAATGAATTTCCAACTGTCAACAAAACTAAGCCAGCTTACTAACTCAGGTCAACACCACAGTTAACAACTATCGATTGGACATTTTTTTTTTTTTAACTGCAAGGCCAGGAAGTAACCAAAACTTAAAATAAAAAAAAAAAAAAGTATCTCCTTACATATTTACAGATTTCAATATTTTCCCTTTCTAAACTTCCAAGTTTTTTTTTTTTTTTTTTTAAAGTAGGAGAACCAAGCCCTTTCTAAGAAAATAAAAGTGAACTGGGAACTTCCTCTCCGTTATTAATCCATCAACTTTGGTTTCATATTACATCACCATTAGGGTGATAATTTCTGTTTTCTATCACTTTAAGGTATGTTCCCAATAACTATCAGATCTGATAAAAGATCCCCAAGATCATAACCTACATACGTTTATTATTAGCTTCTTTTTTTAAAGCAGAGTAGTACGTTAATAAGAAATATCAGATTACGTCTTCAAAAAAAAATCACAAGCCAAAAATAAGATAATACACTTCAAATTGAAGAATCAGTATTTACAAGTCACTAAATGAGTTTTATAGCATTTTGAGAATGCTTAAAAACACTGAAAGATCTAGATCAAAAAATTTTTATTAGGTTAAAAAAAACACAACATAAATCTTAGAAAATAATGAGTTCATACCAGAAACAGATTAGTAAAGCATTTTACTAATAATATTAGTATACTGTCAGTTTTGGAGATTTTAAAGTAAACAATGACACTGAATATTTGAGCACATAATTTATATACGAAAGACACTGTTAAATACCCAAAAAAGATTACTTACATCAGAAACGTACTAAATATTCAGAAAACTAAATGCCTCCTTATTTCTTTAGTCATTTATGTTTAATAAATAAAACTACAGCTTAAAACCAGATTATGACATATGACACATACATCATGGTTGCTGGATAAGAGCAGTGAATGCTTCATATGTTGACACAGGTTCCTAAGCATTACAAAAATCCTATTTGCCTTGTCTTTTTTCACCACACAAGGCTTAGAACACAGTTTTTCATTTGCGTTATTTTAAATTTCAGTATTACGAGGCAAACTCTTACCTAAAGTGCTGTTCCAGCTTTTTGAACTATATACCTTTTGGTTGTGTTTAAACAAACCCGTATATGAATGTTATTCTAAGAGTAGATACTTAGCTGAGAAAAGTAAGAAAACAGATCTGTAAGGACACGCTGTGGAATGTGCATGGTTTGGCTGGAAGGCTCACAATCAGGAACAAATTGCAGCACACAATGGCTGGAGAAGTTAATTAAGTCAACCTAACACAGCACCAATAAGAAAACTTTTGTTTGTTTTATTTTAGTCATGAAATTGTGGATAGGTGAGATAAACACATATATCGCATCCCTTTGGTTCTTGGTGCTGAACTCATTTTTCATTCTTCATTTATAAACCCCTGAATTTTAGAGTTTGGTAAAGAAATATAAGAAGCCCCTGGAAACAGGAGCAAATCAGTACTACCTATTACAGGAGTCAAAAGATTTTCATGTCCTTACTGTAAATAGCATCAGTGCAGAAATCCAAGCACTCCGAAATGTTTGAAGAGAAAAGACAGAAAGAAGACAAAACAGATGACCACAACGACAGTAGCCACCAAACAGCACACAGTGCACCCACCTTTGAAAGCCACACACACACACACCCCTCCCACCCAAGCAGGGCACAGGGCCAAAGCCCACAGACGAGCTGTGCAACTACAGCAGTCTGAGAAGCCTGAGCCAGGTAGGAGCTTGCAGAACAAAGCAGAGGCCACATCATTCCACCCAGAGGTGATCCCAGAGCAGTAAAAGGACTGTGAAGTAGTTAGGTGAAACTTAGAGAGGACGCTAAGATTATTCCAATTACTAGCACTGCCTATATAGTAAAGCAATCACAAATGAAAAAGGCTTGTTTTCCTTTTTCTTGAAATAAAACTGGCTGGTTAGACAAGATGGCCCAGCTGGGTTGCAATCTATCTTTTAAAAGATCATTTCCAGGTTTTTTTTTTTTTTTTCTTTTAATCTGATGGGGTCTTTATGCTATTCCAAAATAAAAAGTAGTAAATCCTTTAGAATAAACAGAAACTGAAAAAATGATTAGAGGTGGCAGGAATTCTAAACTCACTATCATTCAAGCATGTGCCCTGCAAACTTGACTGATGAGGGTTTGTCCCCAAACCGGATGGATTTTACAGGCCTTTAGGGGACCGAGTGCATCAAGAGCACAGCTGATTAGGGTAGGAAGCTGGTGGGAGTCTGCTTTAGGATTCAGATCTGTGGTTATTTCAGACTGCTGGACTAACTTTGTATAAATCACTGCTGCTCCCTCTTGGCTAATGTTCCAAGTGGCTACCTGGCAACCATGTAGCTGGTGATGCTAATCTGTGCCTAGTCACCCCAAACAGGCTCATATGGGAACCCATAGTCAGAGTAGTTCAAGATAATGGCAGCAGCACCCAAACCTCCCCAGCCTGTGGCAGAGTGCAGGAGGGGCAGAAGCAGCAGCACTTTCACAAGAAGACCACTGTGATGAATCTTCCGAAATTCACAGAAATAACAGAGGCCAATGGAGGCCAGAGTGAGACTCACCTTCCATCAACCCAAACTGGTTCTCACACATATACACATGCTCAACTCGTGTTTACACACACACACACACACACACACACGCTAGAAATAGAACCAAAAGGTGATGTTTTGTGAAGCGTAATTCTCAGAAGATACTGATTCCTACAAAATTACTATTTAAATGACCAAATAGGCCAGTGGGTGGGGCATGAAAAAAAAAATGAATGAATGACCAAATAACCAGTACTGATTCTAGTTTTGAAACACTGAATTTTTCTAATTTTTACAAATTTCAGAAAAAATCCTAAGGGTAACATTCTTTTAAGGAGGCAATGATGTATTCTATAACCACACTGGAAGAATAACGCAACTATCTGGTTCAATTAAAATAAACTCCAGTACCAACTTTAGATATCACAAATAAAGGGAGAAATAGAGACGCATTTTCATTAAATATATAAAGTAAATTCACTGTTTTAACTCAGACAAATATATCTCCCTGAGGGTCAATTCAAAACTGACCTCACTGGCCAGCAGCTTTAACACCAGCTCCTCCCTGCTCCAGTCAGGGCAGTAATGACCTTCGGGAAGGAGAGATCAGTGGGGAGCCCATAGTACCATCCAGGACAGGAAAGTGAGGTGTTTTTACTGCTCATCTGCTCTTAAACTTTCTTCCCAAAGAGAGTCTGAATCTCCAATCACATGTAAAATAATGTACATCAACCTAGGAAAACCTTTCTTGGAATAAATAAAGTATAAGCCCAAGGGATGGAGGGGGTTAGCAGACTGGCTCATGCAAGTCAGTGTATCCAGATACACAGTGTCCAGGAACCCAGAGAATGGACCAGTTCCTTCTTCTTGGGGGCAAAGGGAAAAGCCCGGTATAATGCGGAAGGGCAGGGTGGCTAGAAAGCCACAAAAAGCAAAAGGCACTAATGGCCTATAAGAGTGGAAAATCGGGGAAAGGAAGTGAAGGTTACATTAACCTATTCATCTGTTTTTACCAGAGGGGGCTCTGGAATTTATTTTCAATGCTCCATGCTTGAATTGAATGCCTCTCAACACTTTGCTAAAATATTAAAAAACAGAGCGTAAAGAACAGTGGCTTTACGGTATCTCTGAACGTAAGTTAAACTTTTATAAGCCAACTGCAAAACCTGTATGCCAAACACTGGTGCTATCTTGAGGTTCAACCATGAACAGATTTTAAAACCCTTCAGAAAGGAGCACTTAGTGCTGGTGGAGTGGAGTAAAATTGCTAATTTTTTTGGAAAGGGGATGTTTGTATCTTTTATAATAACTGGTAACTAATTATTTCAAAGAGTGCAGACTTTCCATGTGACATGCAAAGTATTCTGAACTCCTGTCAGGCTAATCAAGATGATTTCCAAAATATCAACATAAGAACCTCCTATAATAAATAGCCCATCACGTTTACACCTCAAATTAGAAAACTGGGAAGAGAACTTGTAGTTGCAATACCAAAAGAGGGATTAACTATAGTCTGCCCCTCCCCCTCCCCCTCAGACTCCAACCCATTTGCTTTCTCTAGGCTCTCAGAGAATAAACATCAGTCCAGGTGCAAATGCTCAATCATAAGAAACGCAGAGAACATAAAAATGACTGTCGCTTGACTGTTGGTAATCCCCGTGGCCGCTCACCATTGGAAGTGGTGCTGGAGGCCACGGCTTTCTCGCTGACATCTGGTCGAGTGGAGCATTTCACTATGGAATTCTCAACCTTTTTCTTCTCAGTGGTCGTGGAGCTGTGGGACTGGGCCTCCATGGTGTCTTCTCATTACTTCAGCTCTCTGCTACCAGGAAGGCCTAAATAAAACAACAGCACCATCAACTTCAAATAGGGATGAAAAAAAATCACACTTAAAGAGTTCATGTCACCTGTCTGTCATCTGACAAAGCATCTAGCACTTTAGCAAATTCAAAATCTGGAAGCCCCTTCCCCACAGGTTTTCTTGCAAAATTGCCTCAAGCCAATCAAATTCTGTCTACACAAGCAAAAGGAGAACAGAAAAATGTCCAAAATGTGGGGCTTTTCCCAAATTCCTACTGGGCATTGTAATTAAATGGTCTGAATATCTCAATTTTCAACTGTGTTGAGAATGTGAAACGCAAGTGTCACATTACTCTTTAAAGCCACATCTACAAATGTCTCTTCAGGTGGCTGGCTTTATAGTTAGAACCATTACGACAATTTTCTAAAGTAGGAGGTTTTAATTATTACATGTTTTAAAGAATAACAGAAAATTTCACAAATGCCAGCCCATCTCAAGGTTCTGAATCAGATGATATTCCAAGCCAAGTAACCCAGTGATCTCTGCTTCCCTCACTGAAATATCTGAGTTGAACTATGCCTCTTAATCTTAATTTGTTCAGAGAAACCAAACTTTTAAAACTTTCTTGAAACATGAAAACATTTTAATTCACTTGAGCAACATTTTTTAAACAAAAAAAAGATGATAAGAACAACACGTCTTGATCTCAGAGGAAAAGTCCAAAGATTGCCACCAGCAAAACGGGCCCACTTAAAAAATATGAAAACTCAGCTGAAAGCATGTGCAGTCCGTCAGTGTCTTTCACTGGCCTCTTTCAGGTGATAATTGCGCTAACTCATCTTTCATCAATTTTCACTCTATTCGGTTAATATTCTTATTTTGCACTCAAGCTCTCTACACCCACAAAGAATACAAGAAAAAAATGAAAAGTACCCTCTCCAGGATGTTTTCTTGAAGTTATCTAAATTGCAATACTCATGGTATTCCTTCAGTTGAGTAAACTGCATTTTCTACACTTTGCAGATGCTACTGCATTCAATCCACAACAATGATTACAGAGAGAAATAAAACAAGCAAATGCTAAAAGATTAAAAGAGTTAAAATACCAGAGCCAATATTTTCAGTCATCCTTAACTTAAATTTGCAAGGGAACTGCAAATTCTTTCTTTATTGTACAAGAAACTTCCCCTGATCTGGAATTTGAATGACTAGAGAAAGCTTAAGACTCAGAGGCCACAGGGTCCTGCAGCAATGGCTCTTCCACTAATTTTAGTTTCTTTTCCTTGATTAAGTAGTGTCAGTCACTGTAAAAGACACAGGTTATTTAAGAACAGCTTTTCTAGAGGAAAAAAAAAGCATGATGTAAAATTTAAATATCAATTATAAGACCCACTCCAAATCAGAAATGTCCCTCAAAGAGCTCTGACAAAGTACAACAGTGAAGAAGCTGCAGAATTTCTCCCTGCAGGGCAGCCACTGTGCAGGATCTAGAAGACTCCTACTTGAATGGCGCCCCCTGGAGTTCTCCTGTGACTCAGTTTCTCATCTGTCCTGTGAGAGAATTTCAGAGGGATTTAACCTTCTGTGGAGGAGTAAAGTTAAAATTATGGCTCCTCCCCCATTCAACACTCTTATATACAAAAGCATATATTTAACCTCTGATAGATCACAAGTCCTCCAAGCTTTTCCTCAAATTCAGATAAAAAAATCTTTGAATGAACGTTTTCAACAGTCCCTTCTAATTCTAAACAACTCAGAATTGATTCTCTATAAGTTTCAATGCTTTCCCAGGTAATTTAAATGTTCTCCATGTTTTTGTTCAATGATAGGTATCCAGTAGAGGAGGCACTCTTTTAAGTCTTTGGTGCTGGATAAACTAGTGATGAAATGAACCCCAGAATACTGAACTCCAGCAGCCAAAAGGAAATATCCCTAAACAGACCACATGCCCCTTGAGGACAAGCCCCAAGCTATTTTCCTAATAGCTCCCACCTCTAATATTTGCCAAATAAATGGACCAAGCAATGACCCTGTGACCCAGATGACTCCAGTGTCTTGAATCTTAATCATCACTGGTTAATTTATATACCATTTTCTTAACTATCCAGTATTTCTTTGAAAACTGGCAAATTATATAAAAACTAAACAACTGAACAGAAATATTTAATCAAATGCTTTATTCTCAACCATTTTAATTATGCAAGCATTCACTACACTAGTTTCCCTCTAAACACACATGCTGTTTTATTGGTGAGATTTGGATGGAGTTCACTCAGTTAAAACTGCACACAGAAACAAACTAAAAGAACGAAAAGAAAAACACCTATGAAGAGATGGGATAGCTACTCTTCCTTCGCTAATTAACACCAGTGAGGAGACAAGTCACCCAAGTTCCCTGACAAACTTGGTTTTCGTGGAGTTGTTGGTTTTTCCCCCAAGCAAAGGACTTCATTTTAACAAAGCAATAAAACTCTCCAAATACTCATCACCAGAGAGAGAGGCTCAGTGAGAAGAGGTAAAGCCCCAGGCACTGACTGAAATTGCACTAATTAATGGTTTTAGAGAATACTAATTCCTACTCCCCCTCTTTTGAAATTGATTTTTTAAAAAATAGGTCCTTGGTCACTCAAGAATCTACCCCTTCTTCTATTTTGACAACTTATTTTTGGATCTCATTAGTTAGTAACTAATTATTTAAAAGTGTGGTTTATGCTTAGAACAGGGCTATAAAAATGGCAACTTGCCAAGGTAGACATCTGCTTCCTGTATATCCCTATAAATTATATCAGTTATTTTACTGATAAAAACACAACTTTCTCGTGTCAGTCAAAAAGGAGAAAGTTTTAACATTCTAGGCTCTCACACCTCATCTAAACTATACACCAAGAGTTAGTGAGCAGAAAAGAGTGTCTGCTTTTATCTGTGGAGACGGCTTTTTTCATACAATATTAAACCAAGTTTGGAAACTTAATCTCGAGCTGATAAATGAAAGAATGAGGTAAAGAAGTGAACAGAATAAATGCCTGATGGAATCCTAAAACATACACAACTGCGGGGGGCGGGGTGTAAAACCTGAAATTTCTTAAATATGCAAGTATAACTTTTTTAGAGGAAAACTTTTAATTTTTGCTCCTCCTAAAAGATTTTTCTCTGAGGCCAACACACTACTGGTTTTTAGACATGAATGAAATGACCCCCCTCCCCCAACACAGTTTCCTTTTCATAAAACTCTACACTGTTGTCCTATCTCTTATACCAATACAATATCACATGCAATGTTTGCTGCCTTGGCCCTTGACTTAGTATGCTTATGGGGGAAAAAACTGTTTAGCTGATTTGAGTCCAGCAACTTGAGTATATGAAAAAAAAAAAAAATGCAACCAAGGAAAACTGCTCTAATCATACATGCCAACTAAAACTTGAAGTTTCATAGGTAAATGGAGGGATAAACATTCCTTCCTGAAAGCAAACAGTCATGGCTTTTCCCCATTCAACCAGTCCCCGAAGCTTTTGTAATTTCCCTAGGGGCAAAACCCAGGGCACAATTAATTCCAGACTTTATTTTTCAAATCTAATCCCTTTCCTACTAGCAACCTGCCTGCAGGTGGGTCTTTTCTTTCTGAAATTGTAAATCTGAACTTGCATCCACCTCCTTCAAAAGAAGGCATCTAAAGCTTCCTGGAGCCACTGACCAGGTGAAGGTAGATTGCATACACGTCTCCACTTGAAAAACAGCGAAAGAAAAAGCAAAATTTACCAAATTCACAAATTCTTGTTGGGGTCCTACACATCAAGCAGCACTTCCACAAAACCTCAGGCTGGTTTTTGTGCTCTGTCTTTAGAGTTGCCACTTAGAACGGTTAGGAAAAAAGCAAAACAAAACAAAAAACCCTAAACAGAAGCTCACCTTTGCAAAGAATAGTAGTTTATTATAATTAGGTTTCATGAGGAGCGGGGTGGGGGTGGGGGGAAGCTATAGAGATTTTTGTCTGCAAGGATCTCACACTCCACACTTCCCTTCACGTCGGGGTCCGTGCACGTTTTGTTCCTACGGTTCCAGCGTCCATGCCTTCACAACTTCCCCACTCCCCCCACGCCCCAGCCTTCCGCCATTACGATCTGGTCTCGCACTCCGGGGTCCCACTCCCCACGCCGCGGGTGCAGTCACTTTACCAGCGGGCTCCGCCTGCAGCGGCGCCGGGGTCAGCTGCGCTTTCGTGTTGCTCTCAGCAGACCCAGGCTCCCCAAGCGTAGCAACCGCCCCTGCTCCCGGAGGTCCCGGGGTCCACAGGTCCAAGACCCCGAAGATGCCTGAGGTCTAGGGCCACCTGGGCGCTCCCAGCCCTGCTCTGCACTGCATTCCAGAAGCAGTCTTAGGCAAAATACAGAACACGGAGGGGCAGGCGGCCCAGAACAATCAGAACCCCACCAGAAGCAGCCCTTATCTATCACTTTCTGTCCCATCAGTTACCCAGATCCTCGCGAATATCGCCAGGCGCAAAACTATCTACAGTTGGCTGGGCAACATTTCCAGCAGACAGCTGTTGGCTGCAGCCTGGTTTTCATTCACACAGTTGTTATATCAGCTTAATTCAAGGAGGTGCAACTTTCCAGGTACTTTGCAATTCAACACCAGTGTGTGTCACTACAATAAAACATTGGGGCACACTAAGTCTTCAGGAAACCACTGCAGGTGTGCTTCACTCACAAAATTGAACTATTAACCTGGCACCCAAACGATGTTTCTTCATTAGCTGACACATAGTCAGATGCCTCATCTTGCGTCCAAGAAGCAGGCCCTCCTGGAGTTCCAAAGTTCAGCCTTAACTTTTGCAGTAAATAGAAGAAAGTGAAAAATCACAACTCTGAGAACATGTGTAAAATCAACTTTTCCCCTAGTATGTCCCTACAGGGAAAGTTCCCATGCACTTGCAAGCAGGATTCCTTTAACACTTGCAACCTTAAAAACAAAGTGCCAAGGCTAAAACTAACATTTTAAATTTTGAACTGTATAAAATGACTTTCTAATCTAAG